AAAATCGCCAGTGATTTTATCTTTAATTTTGGATCATTCCCTTAACAAAGTAATGATTCACATTAAACGAAAATTCCATATGACGTCTCTTGGGAATCAAATTGGCAATGTGCCAATGAAATAAACATTGCATGTCGATTAGGCGCCTAAAGTTAACAAAAGACAACAACGAGTTTGGATTTGTATCGACACGCTTTTCCTGATGAGTAAACTCATATTAGTCCATTCTTTTGTACATAATTTCATAAAGGCATTTTTTAGCTAAAATAAAAATTATCAAAAACTAAATTGGAATTTGATATGCTGTTTTATGTAATTTTTAACATTTCAGAAATGTCAGTCAACTTTGAAACGTTAATAGGCTAATAGCTGTGTGAATATGGCACGAAAATGTAAATGTTATATATCAAAATCTAAGTTAACCCTTTGTGAATACAATGCTTTTTATTTTAGTGAAATTTAATTTAGTGAAATCAAACAGGGTATAGTTTTTTTGAGACACCCAGTATATAAACCGTGTTTCTTAAAAACGAAGCAAACTCATGAAGACATATCATATTTAAATGCACGGACTGGTGTTTTAATAAATATCAATGCGTTTATATAAACCGTGTTTCTTAAAAACGAAGCAAACTCATGAAGACATATATCATATATAAATGCACGGACTGGTGTACGTGTTTTAAATATCAATGCGTAGCCTATATATTTAAATTCACGGAGTAATGTTTTAAATATCAAAATATCAATGCGTTTATATAAACCGTGTTTCTTAAAAACGAAGCAAACTCATGAAGTCATAGATATATAAATGCACGGACTGGTGTTTTAAATATCAATGCGTAGCCTATATATTTAAATTCACGGAGTAATGTTTTAAATATCAAAATATCAATGTATTTATATAACTAAGCGTGTTTCTTAAAAACGAAACAAACTCATGAAGACATATCATATTTAAATGCATGGACTGCGGTGTTTTAAATATCAATGCATATATATAAACCATGTTTCTTAAAAACGAAGCAAACTCATGTAGACATATAATATTTAAATGCACGGTCTGGTGTTTTAAATGTCAGTGCGTTTATATAAAGCGTCAAAAGCGTGTTTCTTAAAAACGAAGCAAACTCATGAAATGATAAAGCCTGTACTCGTCAATTAAGATAAGATTATGTTTCATATCTTCATGATTCTTTTGACACTGCAGATGACAGATTGTGAATCCTATCACCGCGGCATACCGTCGGTGAATATCCTAATAATGAGATCATGTTTCTTTTGGCACTGCAGGTGACGAATCGGTATTCGTATTTACCGATGGTTAAAACATTTTTACCATTCGTTGCGTATCGTAATATTGGATATGTATGTGATTTGATGAAAATAATACAACCATACATTTATAACTTGGACAAGTTATGACCCTCCCCTTGGACTCAACTAAAAGTAGTGTGACCCTCGCCCTGATAAAAAGTTGAAATCCGCGGGCCATGCTTGAATACCTAGAGTCTTTGGACGGGCATTTCACGCTTTCTGAAACCTCACATTGATATATTACCTTTCAAGCAACCACGGAAACCAACCCTCATGGATATATGCCCATGCCATTGCTTCGGATGAATGCGGATGTATTTTGTGACAATGACGGGAGCAACATTTTGACGAACAATAGTGTTCCTATCACGGTTGCCTCCAAAAACCTTAAAAGTAGAAAGATCAAATTAAATTATTTTTCTTTCGGGAATAATAGGTTTGATGAAGTATGACTTTCAATTTTCAACCGCGACATGTTAACGAACATGTTTGAAAAATTCGCCAAATTTAGCCACCCCAAATGAGTAACTAACATTTGTTTATTAATTCATACCTTTACCACTCCGTTCACGCGATAGGCAAAGAAATCCAGACCATTGTTGCTGTATGATACAGTATAACTCGTCACCCATTGGTCCGCATTGCTGCGACCTTGCGTTAAGATCTCAGTTACAGTAGCCTGACGCACGAAGTTGACTTGAAGCCATTGGTTGAGATCATTACGTCTTGAAGACCAAGCGCCTTGACGTCCTCCTTGAGCCTGGAAGTTCAGTCTTGAGTTAATTGCTCCATGGTTTGTATCCCATTCTGACGAAGCTAATATTTGGGAGTCAGGTATCTCGCCGTTTTCCACACCAAGGCGTAACGGTTGTTTGCATTCTAAAGAAAATAATTATAATCTTATGTCAGTCATTGGCATTCCGTAAAAATAGAGATAATAGGTACTAATAAAAGTCAGTAAAATTGAATGGGCTATAGTACGTATCACTATTAATTAAGACTTTGTGAAAAAAGGAAGTTTGCAAAATGATGACAAAATACTGTATATGGCTGAATCTCTTTTTTCTCACTTTATTTGCTGCTTTCTTTGCTTTCAATTGTTTTGAGTTTTGGAGAATTTTCTTATGTGAAACATGATTTTCTTTGCAAGGCACGTTAAATTACACCGCATTGTTCTTGCATGGACAATACGGAAAATTCCTGCGACGTCTACTTTCAATAGATTGATTTCAACCTGTTTTAATTTATGGATCAATTACCGTTTTTCAATTATGTTTTTTATTATTATTATTTTATATTTTATATATCAAAATGGGCAACTACTTTTTTTAAAAAAATGTATATATATCAAAATGGATAAATAGCTCAATCGATAGCTATTTCTGTTATAAAATATGCTGCATTTTCTCCAATGCATTAATTCTAGAACAATATAATTTTATGCCAACGATCTAATGTAATCCTCAAAGAAGAGAAAATAATATACAATGTTGGTTACCATTTTGTTCACATCTATCCCCATAATACCCGGCAAGGCATGAGCACGAGACTTTTCCTCCAATATTGCTACATTTTCCTTCGTTTTGACATGGTTCTTCTGCACATGGCTGGCCTGAAATGGTAGTTATTGATTTACGGTATATTTATCCTTTGTTTATTAGCTTAATTAAAGGCACAGTTCAGCCTTTTGAATGAAGGTTTTCAAGGCGCATTCAGCCCTTTTAATGGACCATTTGCATTATAGACTAAATTTTGAACTAGACAAAAATTTCGTCACAGCTTGAAAGAGCATCACGAAGTTTCCTTGCGAAATGTTGTAAAATGCGGATTGAATATAGCCTTGCGAAGTTTGTCGTAAAATACAACTAATTTCTTCTCCTTTCCGAGCCACAGTAAGGGCTCCAAACTACTGAACTATATATAATTGATATCTGACCAATTCAATTGCTTTAAAATTCAACATAAAAAAGAAACATTTTAGCGACAGACTTATTGCAATCATCAAATCTCATACAAGTCATGTTCTCAAGCTCGTTTAATTTAGGCACAAGAGTTGAGAATAACGAGCACCATGCAGGAACTCGCTTGCCATGCATACAACTCTGGTCATTGACCATGACCAGGGCTTATTTTATCTCTATTCTTAACAATTTTCCAATAAGAACCCTAGATTTTTACAACGTGGCAGTAAAACGTAAGATGGTCGAATGTCACCAATGTCGTTTTATCCAATTTCACACATATACATCAAATTTAAAAGGTTGTCCTTTCCAAACCTCAAACTCTAAACCTTAAACCTAAACCTTAAATTAAACTCGCGCAAAGCTGTATGGAAACGCATATATCAAGCTCAGTAGTTGAATATTGCAAGGAGATATTTACCATGTCTCTAAAAAATCGGCCCAAAATATGATTTCTAAACTGATCAAATGATGCGCCCATGATGCTTTACAACCTTAGAGTTTATAGATCCAGACACACCAGACGCGATTCGACAACGCGAGGCGATATTTCGATTTTCACTGACCGATAACTTTAAATTTTCCAAATATTTAGAAGTGCTATAACATTTTGAGTTATTTGGTCTACATATCTTTCAAAATTTGCTCTCATTGGCTATTTTATTAAGTAAGCTTTTAAAAACTAAAAATCGCGTTGTGCTGCCGAATCGTGCCCGGTGTGTATGGACCTTAAGGATCGCAAAGGACAACCTTCCTTGAATTGGCTATATAACAGGAGCAGATTATTCGATCAAATCCGGCATATATAGTATTACTGTACATTCATGCGGAATTATTGCACAATACTAAAAATAAATACCTTCGAAACAACCATTAAATTCCACTTTCATAGAAATATGGCCCTGCCATGTTTTGGGATGGATTCTGATGAAACGTGCGACAATAACTGGTTGAAGTGTGTTTTTAACGATGCTTTTCATATCGACGTTTGATACGAATACCTAAAAATCAGGACTCAATATTAGAATAGTCTTTTCTAAGACTTTAAGCTAGTGTACGTTTGCACGCTACGATTAATCGTGTACGATTCGTATTCTGGTGTATTAAAATGAGTGCTGGCGCCATAATTCATTGCCGTTTTGTTAAAAAGTAATTTCAAATGAGCCAGCTTACGCGTGTTTACTCAATGACATACGCCAGAAAACGAAACGGCAAAATGTGCGTTAGGCAAAATGTCGGTTCGACAAAACGTCTGTCGGCCAAATGTCCGTTCGTCAAGAAGTCTTTCAGCAAAATGTCTTTCGACAAAGTGTCTTTCCGCAAAATATCCGGGTACCGGACTTAAGGGTGCTGCCCTTGGCTATATGTGCCACTATACTTGGCATTTCCTCTTTTAAGAATTTGTGATTGGTAGTGGTGGAGAGTTCTTTGTTCGTCTACAAACTTTACAAAAAAATTTTTTAAAGCTTTGTGAGTTACAGTACTTGTATTTTTCTCTTCATGTATATGTCAAAGATAGATTTAAAGAACGACGAAATCCAGCAGCAATGGTTATGCAATAATGACGCCACGACTCGTTTCGCAGGTAAATGATAGAAAACGCACAGTTGCTGTCGAGTCGACAAGGATGCTGTACTGTTCGTATCGATTTGAAAATATTGGAAATAATTAGCAATTATGGTAGAATGACTTGAATTAGATTAATATACAATAAAGTGAATCATACCTTATCTTTCCCACTCTTTTGGTAAGGTTTGAAGCTTGCGCCATCGTTAGAGTACGAAATAGTGTAACTTCGAACCCACTGATTGTATCTGCCACGCCCTTGAGTTAAAATGTCAGTAATTGTTGCCCTGTATTTGAAGTCAACCTGCAACCACTGTTTCAGGTCATTTCGTTTTGACGCCCAAAAGCCAGAATTTTTAACGAAATTCAAACGCCCTTTACTTGCGCCATAGGAGGAACTCCACTCCGACGAAGCCGTAACTTGAGAATCTGCAATCTTCCCACTTTCCATTCCTAATGCTTTAGGATTCTTACATGCTTAAATGAAAATGAAATACAAATTATAACTCGATTTTGAAAAAAAATTTAATCCCGAGCCATTGGCGTGTCACCGCCTTTCGGCCAACACGGCGGAGCGCAAGAGTATACCAATTCCGCTCTGATATTTACACCCGCGAAAATTATAGCAGGCGGATTCAAAATTTATCATTGATCGCGGACGCAACACTGATTTAAAAAATATGGCGGTTTGCCAGGAGTGGAATAAGATGGACTTTAAGAACACATGGGGAAAATTTTTTTTTTCAATTTTCCTTGAGGAAATGAAAATAAAAATTAATATTTTATTGGAAATCGTGAAGCACTGCATGTGGCAAATTTATTTTATGTTGATGTATTTTATTTGTTGCTTTAATATTTAAGTTTCAACGGATTTATGGGTAATTCTTTTAGATTAGCCTATGTTATATCTAAAAATTGCTTCAAATGAAAAGGATGGCAAATATTTTTCAGAACGTTAACTGAACGATTTGAACTGATGTTATTTTAAGGCTGTCTATTACTAAGTTAAACAGTTGATCGGCAAAACTCATTAAATTTATATAATGTTCGAACGTTTTCCGAAGCGTATATAAGGTTGAAGTTGACATTAGGTAATAGAATGTATCAGAAATACCTACATTGTACAATTCGGTTGTATAAAAATGTAGTTAAAGTTAATTACAGTTAGTGAAACTGTGCAAAAATTCAACAAAACGGGTATTCGAGAGTTAACTAGCACTAGGCCTATATATGTAGATATGTTTAACTAGAAAACAGGTAGCTAAAAAGTAGTGAAGCCTTTTATACAACCACCCCCAGGTTGGAAATCTGATATCATGCAACACACTTTACTTATGTATATCCTCGCGAGCTTTGCGCAAAGTTCCAAGATTATCCGAGTAAAATTGCTCCACATGCAGGTACCGGTGCTAAACAATTTTCCATTAGAAACATGCCTGCATGGGGTCGAGATAAGTATGTTTAATTTTTACAATTTTCACTTGGTTTTGTCTATGGGTGTTTTAAAAACAAATATTATGTATGTTGCTGAAGTACCTACTTTTTCTTGCAACTATATTTGCATAACTGACATGTTCATCATTTATATAAAGAATCACCCAAAACTTTTAAAATATTTTACATACTTCGAGTTTCACACTGTTTCCCAGTATATCCAGCTGCGCATGTACATTTATAATCCTTGCCTTGATTGGAACAGGTAGCGCCATTTCTACAAGGTCCTGCAGCACAGGGAGTATCTTGAAAAAGAATGAAAATGTAGAAATTAATATAGGGGAAAAGGGACAAAAGCGCAATGACATTCCTACTGTATCTCTACGGCTAACCTTATTGTGCACGCAATATGAAGATATATAACCGTATTTGTCGTTATGAATGGTGAGAAACCTAACGAGATATTGCGCAGGCGGGAGTAGTAAGTATTGAGACTTTAATATCCCACATATGAAGAGTATACAGGGCAATAGATTGAAAAGTAGGTGGACACGGCAAGGTTAAGTGTAGATTCACTTTCTATCATATAGTTTCAGAAAATAACATCTTCAAACTTACTCACTTATACCATACCTGTGTCAAAAGCGGCTTTCTGATGGGTTTCGAGCAGTTGAGTTTTTTTCGAACTCACTGCCTTTCGCCGAACTCATCCGCGATAAAGCTACGTAAGTTGCCGTCAGCGTAAATAGCAATGGTAGATAAAAATTAGCTGATAAAACTTTAAAGGTCTTTTTGGGCTAAACTAACCCATAGTGAGTCGGAAGAAAAAACAAAAAAAAACAGAATGAAGGCCGGCGTCCCAAAACAACAAAAAGGATCTGTTTCACGGTTAAAAAACAAACGTACTTGCAGGTTCGGTTTGCTCAGTAGGTTCGGGGAGCTATACCAGCCCCCCTCGGTGCGCAAATCACGGGCACACCTCCCTACGAGTACGTTTGATATAAAGCAACTCATAATCATAACCCTAACCAAA